GCTGGGGGCCCCAGGGCAGCTGGGCTGGGGGCCCGTGCGGGGCTGGCCCTCCCCTCAGGCTCTCGGCCCTCAACGCTGGCCCTCTCCCCTGCGGCCGGGGTCTGCCTGCCGTCACGGTCTCCACCCTTCCCCAGGTCAACTCTGTGAACTGCAACACCAGCTGGAAGATCAACCTGTTCATGCAGTTCCGCGACCACCTGGATGAGGGGGTGAAAGGGGTAAGGACGGGGCCCCCACTGCTGCCCCACAGGTCCTTTCCCGCCCTCACCGGCTCCGCCTGTCCCCACAGGTGGTCGTGGGGGACAAGGTGATCCTCAATCCCGTCAACGCGGGGCAGCCCCTGCATGCCAGCAATTACGAGCTCAGCGACAATGCCGGCTGCAAGGAGGTGAGTGGCATGGGGGGCCGGCCGCTCAGGGAGGGGTGACCCCTCCCCCAAGTTTAAATATGAAAGGATTTGAGAAGAGGCGCAGCTGTGGTCGTGTGCTTTGCCATATTATATCAGGAAGATGAAAATGAAACAAATGACAAATAATGGTCCTGGCAAGCCCACAGAGCCTGGGAGGAATTTGGATGTCAGGGAGAGCCACTAGCTTTAGAAAGCCAACATCTGTTCTCAGATGGCCAGCAAGTCACACACATACCCACATAATGTTATGCTTAGAGACGCCACAGCAAATGGGCTGCTCTCCTTCCCAACAAACACAGATGCCCATCAAAGCCTTTCTCACGTGCCCCCTGCTGGGGCTCTGCAGCCCCTCCAGCCCCCCTCCACCCCACAGAGGCCTGGCCCCCTGCCCATCTACACCTCCCCTTCTCATCTCTGGCCTCACAACCCCTCTCCACTTTCCAAGTCCTGGCTGGCCTCAGTTTGCTCTCTTGCTAAGGGGGTGTCAGTAGCTGGGGGTCCATGTCCCCCACATTGGGGTGGGCCAGATCCTTTGAGCCTCTGTCCCGTCCCCCATGCCTGCTCCGTGGATCTGGGCCAGGACCCTGCCCCCTGCCCCCAGCTGTGGTTCTAGACCAGCTGGTGGGCCCTAGGACATCAGGGGTTGACAGGCCGGGAAAAGACGGGCCTTGGTGGGGGGCAATGGACGGGAAAGACTTTGGGAGGGACCAGAGCAGAGGGTGGAGGAGGTGGGGAGGCCGTTGGAGAAACCCTGACACCCAGACGCGGGGAGGAAGGAGGAGGGTTCAGAGGCTCCTCGGGCTGCGGGGCACAGAGCAGCCTCCTGGGTGCAGGCAGTGTGTGGAGGGCAGAGTTAGGGGTAGCAGCGAGGGTGGGGCTCCCCGCCGGGGGAATCAGCCAGTACACCTGGCCGTGATACCCGTTAAAGAGACAGGTGACAGGCCCTCGAGCGGCTACATCAGGAGGCCCCCTGTGTTTGCTGCACGTGGCCCTGCTCAGAAGCCTGTGATGATCCCTTTGCTCCCTCCGTCAGCCAGACTGCTCTGTCAGACCTTCCTGCCCCCTCAGGCTGCCGCATCCTCCTCCTCCCTCCCATCTCCCAGGCTGTTTCCCATCTACCCTTGCTCTGTGCCTTTCCCTCAAAACCTGCACGTCATCCACACATCAATCAAAGCTCAGCCCATGTGCCACCTCCTCCCAGAAGCCTTCCCTGATTACACATGCCAGCTTCCCATCTATGTAACGCTTAGAAAAGGACACTCACTGGGCTGACCCCCGAGGTGCTGCCCGAGTGGTGGGGTGAGCCTGCCGTGACTCATGGCTCCGATGTCAGACTCCAGGCGACTCAGAAGTGAGACCTGAGCTAACAGAGCCGCCCGTGTTTGCTGTCGCCCTGCACTGCCTGGATACAGAAGCCACCGGGTTCTGCCATAGTAACGGGGCCAGTCTGTGTGTATCCCTTCATTCCTTCATTCGCCCGCTCAGGCGTTCACTCCGCAGATGTTGTGAGAACTTGTGTCCAGCGCAGTGTAGGGGCGGATATGCCATCAGTGATAACGGGAGCGGCAGGCCCGCGGGGGAGTGAGGTGGAGAGGTGAGGGCCTGGGTTCATGCCCCATCTGTCACTGGCTACGTGACGGACAGGCATGCACTGCCTCTGTGCCTGAGTGTCTGCGCCTGTAGAGCGGGGTAATGTGCGCCGGAGGGCTAGGGCGAGGAGTGGTGCGAAGGTCATGGAAAGGGCTCACACAGCAGCTGGCACGTGGTAAGAGTGGGGTGGTACCTCGCCATACAAACTAGAATCCACACGTTCTGCAAGGAGGTCACGGCGTTCCCATTTTATAGAAGAGGAAAGTGAGGCCAGAGATGTTAGGGACTGACCCAGGTCACACGGCTCGTAAAGCGGAGCCAGGAGCCAAACTTGGTCTCAGTGTGCAAAGCTGTGGTGATGAACAGGCCCTGTCCCTGCACCGCAGCCACTCAGCCAGCAGGGAGCGGAGGGATGGGCGCGAGGCCCCGAGAGCTGGGCGGGGAGGGCAGGGAGAGATGCCGCCAGGCGGGCCTCCCCTCCTGCCTTCATGGAGGGGAGACTCAGGTTGGCCCGTGGAGGCCAGGGGTACTGACGGGAGGCGCGATCCAGGGCAGGTGTGAACACGGAAGGCTGGGTGGGCGCTGGGCAGGAGCGTCTGGGTGATGGATAAGTGGAGTTTCATCACATTATTATGTGAAATTTTCTGTCATAATCGATTTAAAAGAAATATTCCAGAGACTATCGTGTTCCAATCCAATAATGACAGGGAGAATTCGCACCCTCCTGAGCCCACCCCCCGCCTGCAGGGGGACGTGGTGCGGCTGTTCCACGCGGAGCAGGAGAAGTTCCTGACGTGCGACGAGTACAAGGGCAAGCTGCAGGTGTTCCTGCGCACCACGCTGCGCCAGTCCGCCACCTCGGCCACCAGCTCCAACGCCCTCTGGGAGGTGGAGGTCAGAGCCCTGCCCCCGGTGCCCAGGCCCAGCCCTTCTCCAGCTCCAGCTCCACCCTCCCTCTTCCTCCATCACTGGGGGGGACGGGAAGGTGGTCCCTGCCCCTCCTCTGAGCCCCTACACGGCCAAGGGGCCAGGACAGACCCAGGAGCCCCTGCCCAGAGCTCCGCAGGCCTCCAGTGCCCTGCCTGTCCCTGCCTCCCCGGAGCACCCCCTGCGGGTAGCTCACCCGCCTTACCCTGCGCCCCCAGGTGGTCCACCACGACCCCTGCCGTGGAGGCGCTGGCCACTGGAACGGCCTGTACCGCTTCAAGCACCTGGCCACGGGCAACTACCTGGCTGCCGAGGTGAGTGGGGGCAGCGGCATCTGGGAGCCCAGGCTGTGCTCGCGGGCACACACTGTGGGCCTGGTGCACGCCACACGCAGACACGTGTCTGGACGCTGCTTCTCTGCACTCAGGCGCTTATTATCTAGGAACTGCGTGACTGTAAATGGGCCTATAAGAATGACTGCCCTGTCCGGTGCCAGGAGCTGTTCTAGGCTCTGGGCTACCATAGGGAGCGAACTTCCCAGCATCCGCGTCTGTCCGTGTTGCACAGGCTTGTGTGGACTGGGCATTGTGCATGTGAATTTGCGTGTGCGTGTGCGTGTGCGTGTGTATGTGTGTGCGTGTTCATCGTGGGGGCTCCGGAGGGGCCGTGGAGGGCAGGCCTGGGGGCTCCCATTGGCGGCTTCCCCAGGAGTCACATGGGTTTCGGGGCTGAGGTGGGCACCCCTGGGGGACAATATGAACTTTGTCTCGGGGTGTGTGTGTGTGGGGGGGTGTCACGTGGTATAGGGTGTGTCTAAGAGCTCCCCGACTTGTTTCTCTTTCTAGGAGAACCCCAGCTATAAGGGTGATGCCTCTGACCCCAAGGCAGCAGGAGCGGTGAGGACGGACGCAGGGCTCTGGGCTGGGGGGAGAGTGGTGTACATCGCCCTGGGGGTGCACAAAGCCCTCTAATTCTTCCACTTCAGTGGTCTGAATCCCACTAATAAACAATCAGGACTTTAGACTCCCTTAATAATGGAGAGAGATTCAAACGAAGATGTTTTGCCAGTCTCTGCAAATTCCTGGAGGTGCTGCCTGTGGAACAGGCCGGCAAAATTATGGATTTAA